GAATAGGGCCCTCTCAATTTCCTCATCAGAGACCGCTTCCGTGAGTTTGGCATTCATGTCATTAGTGACCAGCTGATCAAAAAGCGCCAAAATACGCTCACTCTCACGGATCCCATCAGAAGAGAATAACTTTTCATAGAATGCAGCAGCCATCTCTCTCATTCCGGCGTCATCCGTGCACTTGGCTCCGTCTTCCTTGATCAGTGACTTGACAGTATTTTTGCGTTTCCGATGGGATGCTCTATTCTGAAAATATTTCGTATTCTGGTCGCCTTCAAGAAGACAGTATTTTTTTTTGAAGGGAAAAAGTCCATTTTTGATATGTTTGCGTATTTGTATTCCTGGTGACATACTAAATGCATCTACAATTTTTGTAGTTTTTAAGCTATAGTCTAATTAAATGTGCAATATTTTCTACTTTATTTGAGCTGACATATTAATAAAGTGACAAAGTGTTTTTTTTTACTTTATTGTGTGTTTTCTCACAAAAAAGCTATCTGATCACTTCACAAAATTCAGGAGAAGTTTTTATGTTGAAAGAACACTTGAGGGAACGGATACCGTGAGGGAGCCCAACAGTGCCTAAGAAGAGGACCCATATGGGCCTCACAGTACCCCCCATAACCGGTTCATCTGATTCAGGTACCAATTCAGGATTATTTTTTATGTATTTAAATAGACATACATTTTGACAAATCCTCTTTCCTTGTTGGAATACATATATGATCATAAACTCTTGCCCAAGAAGTCATAGCAAAAATCGGTAGCGATTTGTCCTAGAAAACAACTAAGTGTAATACCATTATATAACCACTCATCAACAGATGCAGCTTCCAAAATTGGGTAAAAGTGCAAGCCGATCGTCGCTCCCTAGGCCTAGAGAGGTTCAAGGAGGGACTGTCAGGCCCATATGGGTCCTCTTCTTAGGGGTTTCATGAACCTGGCTTTATACACTCCCTCCGCGGCGTAACATAATACTCCATCCGTTTCATAATGTAGTGCGTGTAGATTTTTTTTTTCAAAAGTCAAGCATTACAAACTTTGACCATGTTTATACACAAAAATATGCATGTTTAAAATACTTAATGCATATCACAGATCATCAGTTATATTTTGATGTTTTGTAATTGGAACTGTATATGTAAATAGTTTTCTTAGCAAACTCAGTCAAAGTTTGCTTAGTTTGACTTTTCAAAAAATATATATGCACTACATTATGAAATGGTGGGATTACCAAATAAACACAGTCTCCAAAACGAGCTAAAGGCTTGAAGCTGGTTTGACATTGTATCATGCGTTCAGAAAGTCATCATGGTAAGATTCAGCTGGACCAACGTTTTGGAGAAGAAGCTAGCATCTTAGAAGCCTTGCGTAGAACGAAATCACACAACTGAGCAAAACTTCCACCAACTTCAAAATGGCGACGGAGGAAACGTCGATTCTTCTGTGAAGGAGTACGAACCTCCAACGGACGACATGTCGCGTTAGGAGACACCCAATGGGGGAAAGGGAGTCCACTGCCTTTGTTGCCGCCACAAAAACTATCGGGGAAATACCACCTAGAACCCCAAGGGTCAACCTTCCACCAGATCTTAAGGATCCATGATATCGCAGACTCCGCATGCTGGCTAGATCCAACGCCGATAAAAGTGAGAAGCATCGCCTGAAAGAGAGATCACGAGAAGACATGTTCATCACCATCTCGCCACCACTGGAGCCAAAGCCACAGACATCTAAAACTTAACTAAGAAACACTAGATTACCGAATCCACTTGGCGCAAGGTCCCGGGGATCACCTCTCTCCCGCTCGAATGGGCATGAAGGTACCACCGGTGTCCAGGGAATAATTCTAAACGCACGGACCACCTGATTTGATCCAATCAAGACTCTAACTATGCCACTCCGTTGATCATGTAATATATATGCCCGTGTGTGTAGCAAAGCTCGTGTCCAGGTCATCTCTCTCTTTTCTCCGGGTCGGTTTCTGGTGGTGCCTAGGGTTTATGGTCCATAGGTCAGGAGATCTCTTTTTATCCAAGAAAAATAATATGAGGAGATCTTTTTTCATTGAGGAGAAAAGGTTAGGAGATCTTTCAAGTAGTAGTAATACTTTATCCGCGAATGGAAGTAAGTGAGTGTGAGCAACTTGTGGTTCGGGCTGCACGTTGTTCTCGGTGCTAGCTTGCCTTTCCATGTGGTCCGGCGCCTGAGAAGGACGTGTTGAGCATGTATGTAGTGTGTGTTGAAATATATATATACCGCATGCTCGTGGCGGCCACTTTTGTGGCCGGAGTTGTGCGTGAAACCGCCACCCCCCGGGCTAAGGAAACACGGCCGGGACGACACGCGGCTGCCGTGGTGAACGTTGCTGCGATCCGGCCCATCTCTAACCCGAGGCACGTACGCACCCACACTTTTTCCGGTGTCTAGCCCTCACATTATTGCGTTGAAAAGTTGGAGCACAGGATCACCAGAGACGAAAAATGGCCACGATCATTGGCCGTATCGTGCATGGTAGCCCTTTATGGTCCTGATTAATCCTTATGGATGTGCATCAATGGATAGGAGTAGATGTTGTGGCCATCCAGACACGTACGTAGGGGATGGGTAGGAAATCTCGGAGCATCTACAGCCGGACTTGGCAAATCCGGCCCCTCAAACGTCCGGGCGCGTTCATGGGCACTGGCCGAGCACCTTTTAAATTTTCACAGTTGCAGCCGGACATCTTATACTGGATTCTCAAATCCATACAAAGACATGTAAACTAAAATAAACTTTCGTACTATATCGATCACCTAGCTCCTTGTCGTCGATCTCCGTGCCTGGCACCGGCAACATGGGTGGCAGTTGCAGCTCCGGCGTCTTCGCTTCGGCCTCCTCCGGCTCTATCTCCGCGTCGAGTTCGGCGAAGAGCGCGTCAGACTCTTCCTGCTCCCGCCGGAGGAACGCCGGGTTGGCTTCCACATAGGCCACATTCTGGATGGACTCCGGGATGGCATGCTGCTCCGCCATCTCCTCTGACTGGGCGACGTCGAACTCCGCCTCTATCTGCTCCATGTTGAAGCCCGACAGCTGATGCTCCGCCTCCTCCACCTTCATCGGAGTCATCTCCTCCCCCTCCTCTTCCCCCGGCCGCTCCTCCTCCGGCTCCGGCGAGTCCCGAGGCAGCCCGACAGCAATGCAGGCGGTGCGCGCGGCTTGACTCACCCGAATCTCCTGCTGGATCTCGGTGCAGCGCTCCGGCATCAGCATGGCGTAGTAGGTGATCTTGCTTCGAACCATGACGGAGTGCCGGAGCGGGGGCGGAGCGTCGGAGCGGGGGCAGAGCGTCGGAGCGGGAGAGGAAGGAGCTGGATGGGTTCGGACTGGCGGCGCGTAGAGAGGGGAGGTGGATGGGTTAGGGTTGCGGGACGCCGGTCGGCTTAAATAGCCGGATTTGGTCTTGGGCGACGAGTCGAAGCGGCGCCACGCGGCGACGAACCCGACATCCGTCGAACCATCGGGTTTCCGGGTGTTTCCACGGGGGACCCTGTCGTCAGACTGACGTGATGGGCATGCCTAGGCGTTTGAGGCCCGTCTAAAGAGCCCATCTGGGTCAAAAAATGTGACCAGACATTGACCGGGCGGCCCACCCGGATGTATGAGATGGATTTAAAAGGTCCGGCTATAGATGCTCTCACACGAACAACCATGGTGGACGCCTGATGCCCTGTGCTCTGTTCTGAACATCTTCACACGCGTTCAGCGTGACACTGTAGTAGTAGCATGCAGCTGTTTTCTTCTGTTGGGGTTGGTCTCTGACTCTCTGCGTGAAGGATTAATTTTTACCCATAGTAGTTAACGACGGAAAGTCCTTTCTCAGCCCGAGCTCAAATGAGCTCGGGTGAACAGTAAAATCAAAAAACATTTTAAAAATGTTCAAAAAATTCTGAATGTTTTTTGTGGTAAACATTGACAAATATTCTAACTGCTTGCAAAATTTCATCTTCATATCACATTCGTATAAGGCGTGGCAAAAAAAACAAAATCAGTGCTCCGAAATGCTTTGAAAGTAGCATTTTCAGAGCATCGATTTTGTTTTTTTTGTCACCCCTTCCACGAATGTGATCTGAAGATGAAATTTTGCAAGCCGTTAGAACATTTGTCAAAGTTCATCACAAAAAAAAATCAGAATTTTTTGAACATTTTTAAAATGTTTTTTGATTTTACTGTTCACCCGAGCTCATTTGAGCTCGGGTGTAGATACTCCACGTCCAGTTAACGAAGCATCCATCCAAAGATACCAGCACACTTGACTGCTGGGTCGCATAGTAAACGGTGCATGTGTACGCAATGTCTAGCAGCAATCTGAACTTGTCTGAACCAAGGGGCAAGGTCAGAAGGATAGCGAGGAGAAGAAGGCATTTGTGCTTGTGCGATCCCCTGCTTCGGGCCTCGCTTTGCCCCCCACCGCCCGGCAACGGCCCTTCCCCACCTTCCTTCCAAGTTGGCTTGGGCAGCGCGAGTGGATCGGTGGAGCACGCGAGCGCAAAAGGAGGAAGGAAAAGCGAGCGAGGAGGAAGAAGAAGCAGCCGAGCCAAGCCAAGGCGCCACCTAACCAAAATCTTATTATTATCCAGACGTCCAACTCCCCGGACCCGGACCTGTTTTCTCCCCTGCCTTCCTG